TGGAAGGGTTTTTCCTTGAGGGGTTTTGCCCGGACGCCGGGTTTCCCCTCCATATGTTACCATGTTGGTATTTTCTGATGTATCCTGGGGCGTTCTTGCCCAATTGATGGTTAGTCACTTGCGTGAAGAACCAGGGAGGGTGTTCGTGAGTCTGCGAACATTGCTGTTGGATACATGTGCTGGATGATTTTGTGTCACGCAGACTGGTAAGATAACCGTTTGATAGGGGGCACCGCGATGATTCACGGGGCCCCTCCTTGCTGTGGGAGCCGCTCTTTGAGCACTCCCTCTTTCGTCCGTGTGAAGGACGGTCGTCTACCTCCCGTGAAGTTAATACATCACCAAAACAGTCTCACCCGATAAATAAGTGGCGTAGGCCGCAAACATTCTTTACGTGCAGCAGGTAGAGACCCCTGCACGCAGGCAGAAAGAAAATAAAACGAAAAAGACGGCCGCAAGAAGCCGAGCCCACTGGTGCGCGGTCAACGGACACGAAAAAACATAAGTCTATTTCGCAACCATGACGGTCTCGTCATCTAGTCTAATGCTTCTGCTCTCTCTCTCTCTCTCTCTCTCTCTCTGTGTGTCTCTCTCTCTGTGTCTCTCTTTAGACTATCGCTCTCTCTCTCTATCTCTCTCGTTCTCCCTGTTTCTGGTTCGTGGTCTTTCCTCTTCCCCTTTCGCGCGTTCCCTCTCGCTTTGTGTCTTTGGCCTGGTGTGCTGACCGGCTAACAGAAAAACGAAGCTGGACCTTTTTACTTACTCTGGGTATCGGGGGAAGCACGGCGTGTGCCTTATGGCACCGTGGGTTTGAAACAAGACATGGCCTGTGTTTTTTCTCCCCAGAAAAATGCAGGCGGGCCATCCGGAAAAAGTATGATTTCCGTATGCCCTGCTCGAACCCAAAACTTTGTACGGTCGTCCCCCAAACGTCCCCTGCCCTCGTAGATCACTCGGTTTGGACAAGATCTCGAAGCAAATGTACACCCATGGTCACGCGACCGCAGCCAAGCTCAAAACATGCTCGGCGAGATACGAGGAAATGAAGGAGAAGCACCGTACTCTTCAGAGCTTCAGAGGGACAATGCGACGCTTCGGGACTGCGTCGGTGTTGCTTGCCACGAAATGCCACACATTCCCCCCCTAGAGGACTCGCCTCTCCTGCTATTGGACGCAGTCCATACTGTATGCTGGAAGAAAAGACGCCGTGAGAAAGAGTTGGAAGATAGCCTTGAGGAGGCTCTTGGCAAATTGGATTTCGTGGAGCAAGATGTAGCGAGAAGGCTTCGAAGAGTGGTATCGAAAGTAAAGAGGGAAACGAAAAAGCGCGAGAAAGCCGAGGACCAAGTGCTGTGCGTCGTTTGCATGGAAAGACCCCGGAAGAAGTTGCTGCTGCCGTGCGCGCATTTTGTCCTGTGCGGCAACGAGGACTGTTTTCCTGTTCCAGCATGCCCCTTCTGCCTTAAAGACGTGCGTTCGGAGCAAGACGTGTTTTTTTCGTGACGAGAGTTTTCCTATTGCTCGGCAGCTGATACTCCAGTACTTATTGAGATGGGAGTTGTTACACTCGCGGCCAACATGCGCTGGCCTTGTCAGCTGCTAGTGTGAGCACTATGGATTGAGCCGGCCAATTAGATTCAAAGTTTTTTGGGAGCACGTGTTTCGAAGTGTCAAAACAGCGCTAACGCACCGCGCTTTTATGCTAGACTATACGGAGTTGGTCGTTTTTCGAAGTAACGCTCTCCGAGATTCGGTCTCAGGTTTTGATACCACAACCCTGAGAATTTTCTCGAAAATTTGGTTGTATGGACAATACCCTCAGCAAGCACTTGACTGTGATCGAGTTGTTTCCCTCACGTCTATCTCGGCCGTATGAATGTCGACAAGTTGTCTTCCGGGTGCAAATCTTCGCAGTTTTGAGCACACGCGAGGCATGGTTGGTACACCCGTCTGTACCTGAGGTATGACAGCTTTACGCATTCATTGCTCGTTACGGTTTGTGTTGTGGCGCCTAGAAGTCAGCATTGTTGAGCGTACTGATTCCTCGTCAGATTGCGAGTTTGAATCCTGATGAGGCTTGTATACACCTCATTCAATGGTGAGAAAACGCTTTCTGGAAAGCCCCCTTGAGGGGAAGGCAGCTGTACTCTTCTCTTGCCAAAAATTGAACGTGTTTGTTTGCTGAGAAATTCTTTCAAGTGTTCTTTACCAAGGGTCCAGAGTGACTCTACTCGGCCCTGGCACCATAGCGATGTCGTCCTGAGGGAGCAAAGTACTTTGTGGGGAAGTAAGTCCCTTCATTGGCCACCCCCCTGTTGCACTTGAGCGTCCGTGCCCTCTACACCGCTCCTACTTGTTGCCTACCTTTCTATGTTGAACTGATGCTTGAGCTCATCAGAGCTGGAATTCTTTGGTACGTTCTCCGGACTAGGTCTAAGTGGCCAACTCCGTTTCGCACACGGCTTGCAAGGTTTTTAGCGAAACGACGACACCATCAAGCATGTAAACCAGCGTTCTGGCTGGAGAAACGTGTTCAATAATGCACGCCTGGTGGAACACACTCCCCGTTTCTTACCCTTGAAATCCGCTGCTGATCAGTTGCTAAGGAAAACATTGTCTGTTCTATTTGACGAAAGGCGACTCGCTGTGAGCGCTGCTGAAATCCTAGAAGGCCAGCTATCGCCAACTCGTCCGCAGATTTCTCGAGGACCGAGCCACGCTCGATTCCTAATGTTCGGTTGCCGCCCTCATGTTGACTTTGGCACCATGCTCCTTTGCCTTCTGAGTCGCGACCCTCTTGATCATGTCGGCCGTCACCATCCCGTCCTCGGATCCGTATGCACAGCTCTGCACCCCCAGCATAAGCTTCTCCACCTGTCACAGGGAAGGCATACAGCAGTAGCGCGATAGCAACGAGGCTGTTGGGAAAAATAGATTACTTTATTTTTGAAACCTCCAGAGGTTTCACTGTCGGCAAGCTCTCAAGGCTCAGGGCATGCCCCACCCTCCCGAGGTCTGCGCCACGGCTGGGCCGTTCACCTAACGGCTACAAGAACGAAGGGAAAGCGGTTCTTTACCGTGGTCTTATCTGTTTCGTAGCACCTATACTTCTCGCCGGTTTGTGTGAAGCCTGATGCCGGCAGCATAGTGCGGGCTTTGGAAAGAACGCCGTATCCAGTCATGGAATGGCCGGATTTACGCCGTCGTGGGGTCTCAGACGGCATTTCTATCGGCATAATATGAATGGAGAGTGCCCCTCTTCAATGGTCACTAGGCAGTGGGTTCACGGTGAACGTGTACGTTGCACGTCCTTTCAGTGTACAAACCATGAACACGCAGAACAACTCCACCCAATAATTTCGTCCACCATCGGGCATTGTCGAGACTGTGCTTGGAACCCCCAAGAAACCACCACGAAGACGAAAGCTGTTAATAAGGTAACCATTGGCTCTAAGCCACAAACCATCGGGAATTAATGGCAACCAAGGACACCGACCTCTCTGCCGCTGAAGCCCTGCACCTCCTCTGCGAGTCCCTTAACAAGGCATTCGTCCACCCCTACATCGATCGTCAGTCCTTCGGCCGAGCTCCCTCGCCACCACCTAGAGAGCTTGCTGAAAAGGCCCCAACCCGTGTCAATAGAGCTGCCATCCTTGCCAGTCGCGCAGTACTTGTGGAAATACTGCGATAGGGAAACAAGCAGACGCGATACCACGTGGACCAGAAGTAGGACCGTCCGGTCGTGCAATACTATCGACCTGTTGCCGTTTTTGTTAAAAGTCTTTTTATGCGTTTGATCGAACACGAACACACGTTGTGTTTCATATATGCGTTTGCGTACGTACAGTAGTACAACCTGATGAAAAGTAGGTGCGCACCTATTTAAGTACTTGTGACATAGCATCTGAGAAGAGGACGTACAAAGCAACAATCGCACCTGGACCAGGAGCTGTGCTCTTCAAAGTATTTTTTTCCACTCAATCAAACACGAACACACATTGTGTTTCATATATGCGTTTGCGTACGTACAGTAGTCCAACCTGATGAAAAGTAGGTGCCCACCTATTTAAGTACTTGTGACATAGCATCTGAGAAGAGGACGTACAAAGCAACAATCGCACCTGGACCAGGAGCTGTGCTCGAGACTTCCTGTCAGGAATAGGAAACAGGAGGGAGTCGTCCATGCGGTCCAGAACAGCCTCGTCCAGATCCTTAATTCATAATAGTGCATCATCGGAGCACACAACAGCCGACCATATTTACTCGTGCGATTCTTGCATTAGATAGGGTGCGGTGCATTAGACAGCTTAGGGTTAGGGATTCGCATGCCAATTGCCCAAGACCGTTCACAAACCCTGGCTCTACAGACGGAATAATTGCTGTCTCGCCCGATCGCTTGGGCCGGCTCGTGTATGTAGTTTGGGGATAGATGACAACTAGCAAGGCATTGAAAAGTCGGGAAGAAACGAACGTCAAATTCAGCGTTCGTTCTCCATCACTGCGCAATGCTGCACCACGACGCGACCATGAGCTATACAGTTTCAGGCAACGGAAGGTATTGTCTTGTTTCCGGTGACACCATCACATTTTTTCTGCATCTTCTAGGCTCTATTTACCAGCTGGTGTTTATTCACCTCTGCCCTGTTGGTAGCTAAGACCATCATCAGCCGGCGACTAGCCGAACCCGTGTTGTACAACAGGGCGTTAAGGGCGTTCCTTGTGCCCTCGGACATGTCAGGTCTGGATCTCTTGCCCAAAAAAGCTTCAGCCTCGTCGATGAACAGTAGGAGTCCCCTTGAAACAATGAAATTTAACGTTTGCAGCATTGTGCGCCACAGCGTTGGCATGCGCAACAGCAATGCGTACCTCCTTCCCTGATGCTCTCAAAAAATCGCGACAATACCAGGAGGCCTGACGTAGCTCATCGATAGCACACCTCTGATCGATTCTAACCCTATCCCTGTGAAGCCACTGTTAGGTATAAATAATACCTTGAACAATATATATATATCTATGCGGACGAACCGCTCCTCGCCACATCAGCGGCTGTAGATGTACAACAGGTTGCAAAGAGAGTCGTATCCTCATCCTAGGATTTTCTCCTACATCTGAACCTCGAACCACACCGTTGCGTATTCCTTTCGAACTGGCATTTTCTGTAGGGGCACACGCCGAATGGTTGAGAACGGAGCTAAATTGCTTGCCGCAGTCAAAGGTTGAATAAGCTTACTCTGCCCTGCTCCATACAGGGATCAAACACATCGCTTGGGACTTGAGGAATACAGAAGGAAACGTCGTAAAACGTTCAGGAAAACAAGAAGCCATGGAATACGGGAAGGTTTCAAATCTGTTGGTGGTCTTTCGACCTAGTTAAAGATTTTTGAGTCGCTCTCCTGTGAACTGTATCAGACAAGGCGGGTGTGCGATCGAACCGAACGTTGATTGACGCGGCGCCGCCAATATTGCGTGCAGCAAACCTGGGCGACTTGGCAGCCCAACGGAAAAGGCCATGAAGCTCCGTGACAGCATTTTTGCCCAAAGGGGCAACGTCTCCACCGCTCATCACCGCGCAATCCATACCAGAGTATGCGGCCTGGAAACAAGACGTTTTTCGCATGGTGCCCGTAAAGGAATGTTTCGAGAGCCTGGCACACGTGCCCGTTTCAAAGGGGGTTCACTTGTTGACGATACAGACTCGTGACACGTTTCGAAGACTCCATCATTTGTTTTTCCACCGTACTTCGAACTCGGCCGTGTTGTTTCTTGTCGCACACACAATGAAAGCCTTCGGCGATAGAACATAATTTTGATATAAACACCGTTCTTGGCACCCCTGACGGGGAAACTCGGATAAATGACGAAAGAGTCTAGGTAGCATTCTCTTGGAGGGATTCCAACAACAAGGGTCGGCATCCAGTCCGTCCTCGAGGGACCGTGACAGATTGCTGAGCCCACTCACCAGGCGCTTGGCAACCATGGTTTTTCCCGTGCCGGGAGGACCGTACAACAGGAGGTGTCGGTAGGGAGCGCCGTTCCTCTTGGCATTTCTCGTCGCCACCGCCAGAGAAAGAACCTGTTTCATGAGTACTCATCGTTAGGTACCAGAGGTCCCCGACCATGCAAGTTGGAATGGGTCGGTTACGCACACAACAGGCTCGCAACATGTCAGATCATCTTTCGCGCGAACAGTCTGCCTGCAATGGTTTGGTCTGTTGTGCAACCGATCGAAGGTCGAGAAAGACGGTTCGCCCAAACAAGAACTTAATTTTGTAGACTACCCCACTGGCACACCAGCCTATTGCTTCATCCGAGTCATACGTCAAGATGCTAGCATTGTCACCAGTATCACATATCGAGTCTCTCAGGATGTTCCAGGACAAACAGGATTTTGCACTTTCGACGAACACATCCAGCGTATCACCTGTTCCTTGAGATCCGGGGCAAGTACGACGTCTCGGAAAGCGTTCATAGCCTCCTCCCTCCCGGATCGCGTTCTCTTTGGTGACCAGCCTTCTCCCTCAAGAGAAGCCTTGCCGGCCTTCTTACACTTAAAGCTAATCAAACATTTCGCTACATGGAGAAGACAGTGGTTGGTCGACCGCAGCGTCCCCACACGGGAAGTTTCCCGCACTAAGCTGGGCTTCCCAAGGTAGGTTTCGAGGAGCTGTAGACGTTGCGATAAAGGTTATTGGGGTGCATATTTTGTTACCCTCGGCACCGAATGCGTCTTGTCAAAACTATATCAAGCCGCCTTCCCGCCCCCGAAGTCACGGTAACGTTTCGAATGGTCTAAGACCTACAAGCATTTCAAAACACTGCGCGCTTGCGGAAGAATAGCTGAAGCTACTTGGGTTTGTTCACTCTTATCTTCAGTGTTGGGCATTTCGACAACTCGTGAACATAGTTGACTCTCGATATTTCACATGGCCAAACCCCCGAAGGGACTGGCAGCTCAAGGAAATACCGGCAGGAAAGCATGTAGAACTGGCTGTCATCGATCCTTCGCTCATGCAACATTGCGGTTGACAGCACTTGCTGGTCACGCCAACGCACCTGTCTGAGGAGATTAGTACCCTCCTTCAGCACCATATACCCGGCCAATAGCCCGAGTAGCCACGAGGTCAGCGTTAACGCTCGTCTGGCAGATGATAGAAGTCCAAATTGTCAAATAAGATGCAAGCGAGATGTGGAAAGTGCATGGTCGACCCCAAGTGTACCCCAAGACGTCACAATTAAACTACGAAGTATATTCGTCCTCCATACGGCATTTTATCTGGTGGCGCCCTGTCAGCATTTCGAGTACGGTCTCTGTCTGGGAACGGTGACTCTCAATGATTGTGGTTGAGGCAAAGCTAGGCCTGTCCTCCATCGGCCGTTTTGCTTGTATGACGGAGAATAAGAAGGTGGAATTACTTGAAATTAGTATAGAAATAAAGTTTGTGTATCTAAATCGAAAATAAAACGGCCGATGGAGGACAGGCCTAGGCAAAGCAGCACCCCGTCCGCCGCATGCTTGCTTCTAGCGTCCATGGCTTCTTCGCCCACCTAGGGTCGGACACGAGCCCGTAGACGGCAGATGCGAGGTGCGCGAGGACTGTGTTGATGGCCTCTTGGGTCCGCCTGCGGTCCTCTTCACCCTGCGTATGCACGGTTCAACATGCGTTCCTATCGTTAGGCATTGGTCCATGTCACGGTGTTTTTGTACGTCGTAGTATGCAATGTGTACAATTTCTCCTCGCGTACCACGGTTTTGTTTCGAATTGCCTACCCACATCAGGACCAGGACTGTGGTCTTGATGGTGGAAGGGTGACGGTCGAGATTGCCTAAACTGGAGTCACCGGAATAAATGCCAAAAGCAATCCAATGGAGACGGTAGGAGTCTCCTAAAGCACTGCCACATAGATAGCAATAGTAAGCCAAAATCCAGGCATCGGCGGTTCCATGTGTTGCGACATGCGTCCTTGAGATCAACGGTGACGTCATCATGGCCCGAAAAGAATTCCGGAAGAATTCCAGACCGCAAGACAATATTTGGTGCCTCACCAGAGATTCCGATGGAAGGCTTGATGCCGCTTCAGTTCGCATGCTACCGAAGCAAACGGAATCGATAGGGTTTCTTCCGAGGAGGGTGCACGCAAGGCGACGATTCAGGAGGAACAGGCAACGGCACCACCTGTCTTTTGCCGACCCAAAATAAAGGCACACGTTTTGGTGTTTATCACCTGAGCTTTTATCTTCCGTAGCATCACGTCTTCGTTCTGTTGTTCCGCTGCAAACTTAGCTTCCACCTCAGCCTGTACCCGCTCCATGTCCATCTGTCGTCCCAAGTTCACGGAATGGTTGAGATGCATGTTGAAATTGCTTAGGATATTTCACGCCGTCAGACAAGCGGCAAAGGAAAACGAAAGCCATTATCGACGCTCATCTATTGAGTAACTCCTCTCTGCCCTTATCTTTGTCTTGGTTGTTGTCTCACTCGTCTCAACCTGTGTACTGTGTCCCTCTTATTTGGTTCAACGTGAGTCTAGTCTACATTCGGGATCTCCTTGTTTCCCGACCACCCCTTGTCCTCAATATTGGGTAATGGGAGGTATGTGTTGACCTGATTGGTGAACAATGCGGCCGAGATATCCCAGGCACTCAACCCGCATCGTCGACTCCGTATAATTGGTCGTCACTGATGTTGGCCCATCATTTTCAAGGGTTATTATGCCGTACTTTCGATTCAATTTGAGCCATTTCGCAATTTTCTTCAATAGCACCTGGAGTTTTTGGGCCTCCATTTCTTGTTCCAGGTCCATTCTTCGTTTCCTAAGCTGGCTCTCCGTTTCCAAACGTAGAGCTTCCCTCCTTCGCGTAGACTCTTCCTGCGTAACGGCATGAGATTCACCATTGAATACTATTTTGCACTTTGTTTGTTGTTTGTCGCTCGACGTGTGTCTTTCCCCTTGTCTTTCCCTTCTCTCCGTCTGCTCTCCTCTTTTGTTGTTGTTTTTCTTTCTTTTCCCAGTCTAGGATTACCCCGCATAGCGTGTAGAGACGAGCGGAATGGCCTAGACTATCTATCGTTGACTTCTATTGGCTTGCGGACCCTTCGGGTCCATTTTATTTTCGTACACGTTTTTTTGGGTAAGTTTGCCTGTGACCGCGGGAATCGACCCCGTCAAGTGTTAAACTAGCACGGACAGAAGAAGGTACTGGGCAGAGAAAACGGAACCGTTTTTAATGTGAAGACAACAACAATAACAACTCAATTGTCATGGGGGTCAGCATTGAACTGTGCATTGTGTGCTGCGTCAACAGTAATGCCGGTTAGCCAGCAGTGCCCATGCATCACAGAAACCGCCTCCCCCACCAACGCCAGGAGCACAACACGGTTCACCTCCATTGGCAGAACCTTGAGGGACTCTGCACTACTGGGGTTGACTGACCCTGGCATGGGCATTGGGCCGGCTCGAAATATATTCACACTCAAGGATTATTGTCTCTGACCATAAAATGGGGTCTAGTTACCCGGTCACACCTGGATTTTGAGCGCTTTCTCCGTTTCAACTCTCTTGCTTTCGCTTTCGGCGGCGACCTTTCGCCTAGCGATCTCAAGTTGTTGCTCCAGCGCTTCTCGCTGCTGTAGAGCCTCCAGCTCCGTAAGTCTGTGGGCGTCCTTCACCTCGATAGCCTCTAGCTCTGCCGCCAGGTGAGCCTCCTCTGCTTCGGCCTCCACGATTCTTCGAGCGAGATAGGGTAACATGCGAGTACGTGTAGTTTCGAAACAAAAATCGAAATGTGAAAGGCTGAATGCGACAATCAATGCCCAGAGAAGAAGGTTTGAACCGTCCCATGTACGCTTGCGAATGTTGAGTCGCTCGCCCACGGTATTCTAGAAAGCGGGCTCTGTGCATGGCAGCTCCCAAAATGACTACTGGTGAAGCCGCTGGGTTGCCTGCAACATGCACCAAACCCGCTTTCTAAGTCCGATCTGCCCGCCGTGCTGTAGGAAGAACTCGGTTGGCAGGCCCCTTACCTCTTACGCTCGAGCAGCTGGGCGTCTGCTTCTTCAGCTAGTCTTTTTCCCATTTCATCGACCGCCATGTGCATGCGTGCATCAGACGCCAACTGCTCCTCAAGCTGCAAAAGACAGACAACATGACGTAGATAGCAGTATATTCTTAGCCACGAATTGCCGCGGTGATAAACTATCCCCGCAACATAGATTGAAGGCAAGCGCCGATGACGTGCTTCCACTAGGCCGCCGCCAAAGGAGGCTGCATAGTGTTGAGAACAAGTGATGCTACCGATAGCTCCGCCGGCGTAGCCAGAGCGTAGGTGTACGTAGCATGACGTTGGCCGGCAGAGATCAAGTCGCATATATGGTGCTGATATCCATGAACATTGCACCTTCTGCCCCTGAACCTAACACGACACTATCTGCGAGCATTACTAACTTAACCTCAAGTCGCGTACCTCGGGTGTCTATCGTGTGACGACTCTCGCGGAAGGACTCAAACCTACATAGCAGTACCTCCCACTTCACGGACCTGCGCCCGCATAGCCTCGTTCCGTTCGGCTAACTCTTGGACAGCAGCAACGTTGTTCATGAAAATAACGCTTTTGTCGACCACAGCTTGGTTTTCCAGGGTGATGGGGGGTTCTCCCTGTTCATGGAAGGGG